CCGAAAGCTACTATTTGAAATGTTAGCAGGAGTGAAGGGATTAGGATGCAAACATAGTGGAGCTTTGTTGCAGAGGGAGGACATGGAGAGGCATTGTGCTGACACTGTTAAAGGATTGTGGTCAGACACTGGGAAGGGCAAAGTCAGAAAAAGACAACTGAGGGGCACCAGAGCCAAGGAGGGAAAATTGAGAACGACTGCAGTGAAGGAAAGGGGAGGGGAAATTGGGAAGGGGAGGGGAAATTGTTTGCTCCCTCCGGAGAGACTGAGCAGTTAGCAAATGAAAGGGTAGTCAGGTCCTTACTTGCAAAGCTAACCTGCCAGGTGTTCTGGAAGCGTTTCTTTTAGAGAACTGGGTTCTGTTTTTCCTGCGTGACTTCCATTCAGTTGCTTTTCCATTAAGAACAAAGATGCATTCCAATAGCGATGTGTAATGAACACACTCTACTGACCTTTTAACTCTTCGATTTGTTTGCAATTCTTGACTTCTGATTATGGAAAAAATGTTTTTCTCTGCAGCAAAAATAGAACTTTCTCTAGTAAATGTGGGAGAAAAGCCCATATAACTTTTCCTTGTCTGGTGCTTCATAAAGTTAGTAATTATTTAAATGGACGAGATATCAGAAAAACATCCATTTGTGATGCTCTTGTGCAATAAATCTTGCAGTGAGTATATACATGGTAGTGTTACTAAAAATGTGTAATGTTTTGTTCAGAGATCATGAAAAGCAAGTATTATTTATTTTATAGGCATATGGAAAAGAAATGAAGAGGAAAAAGGCAATAATTTAATGACCTGGCAATTCGAAACCCTGACCGATTTCATCAGCATTTTTGGAAATACAGGTGAGTGTTTTCATTCATCTTCCATGTTGGCCTATTGACTGTGAAACAAACAGTGGCCAAGGCGGCAGCAGTGCCACTTTGACTTCAAAATTGATGGGAGTTGTCTCCCAGTGTTTGTAAACTCACATTATTGTCTTATTCCCGAACACGTGTGAACTGATGTGTTAAAGCCTGAAGGGCTGGAAGTCGAGATCAGTTGGTAGTGCTTCCCTACCATCCCCAAAGTGCTGGGATTGATTTTAGGCACTATATAAACCAGATGTGGTGGCGCATGCCTGTCATAGAGGTGGAGATGGGAGGAACAGAAGTTCAAGGACATCCTCGGCTATAGAATGAGTTAAAGGACAAACCCCGTCTCAAAAACTAAATAGGTGCTAGAGTTCAATTACTGGCACCCACATCTAGTGGCTGTCAGCCACCTGTAAGCCCAGATCTCAGTGACCCTACTGATTTGACCTCCACGAGCATGCGCAGCACACACAAACACATGCACATCACACACGCTCACATAGTTGCAAATAATAAAAATAAATATTTTTAACGTATTTATTTATTCAATTTTATTTCATGTATGTGTGCCTGAGTGTATGTATGTGGAACATGTCCATGCAGAACTCCTCAGAGGTGTGAAGAAGGCATTGCATCCTGTGAAACTGGAGTTCTAGGCATGAGGAGTCACAAGATGGGTGCTAGGATCCCAACCTGGGTCTTCTACTAGAGTAGTGATTACTCTTAACTGCCGAGCCAACTCTTCAGCACTTAAGATAAATCTTTTAAAAATAAAGAAAATGTCAAGATATTGAGTTTTAAAGATGATTATTTTTTATTGACAGTTTATGCACCGAACATCATCCATTCTGCAGAATAGCCAGAAAGTCCGTGAGCTGAGCAGAGTGGAGGTTTTGATGGCAGGACAGGCTGAGGGAAGCAGAAAAGAAGAAAACCCATACTGAATGCTCTGTTTCTGCTTGATTATTTAAGGGTAGCTATAGGAAGACTAAAAGCAGACAGAAAGAGAGGCTTGGTCTGGCCCTAGGAGGAGCATGTTTATTTGCTGTGAGGGGCTACCTTTCTTACCCATGTGTGTGAATGGCCAAATGACTATAGAAGATGGGCCATGGCCTCCAACAGAGCCAGAAATGAGTACACAAAGGGAGGTGGGAAGCACAGTCTTTCAGCAGGAAACTTTCATCCCTAGCTCTGAAATTAGATGGAAACGCACTGCGGGGGTTCGACTGTTTTCTGATGAGGAGGGTCTTGGTTGGAGGGGCTAGTTCTGGGCCCTTGAAGGGCGATCCTTAAGTCGTGTAGCAGGTATGGGGTCTTAACTTCATCGGCTGTGACAATCAGGCTATTACCATTCTGTATTCCTGAAGAGACTTGGAAAATAATTATTAGTGGGCTAAAAAGCAGATGATTTGTTTACAGAACAAATCAGAGATTTTTTTTGGAGGAGAAGTTTGAGGAATATGGAGGAATAGAGACAGAAAAAAAAAGAGTGGACCGTGACTAGTCCCATTGCCAGAACTGTTGCTTCAAAATGAACAAGCAAGAGTAACAGGGTGCTACAGAGCATCAAAGGAAGGGAAGAGGAGAAAATAGAGAACCAATGTAAAGAATTGTATCTGGCTTTGAATGAAAGGGATGAAGGCTCCTTTTAGCCATTTTCTCCACTGCCTCTAAAGGTATTTTTGTAGATGTATCAGGAACAAACAGAGCTGTTGTAGGGTGCGAGCTATTAGGAGAGCGTGCATGGAACGTCTTATTTGGGTATAGGGTGAAGTTCTGTAAGTAAAACATTTAAAATACAGAGTAAAAACATAAGCATGAGAATGATAAAGAAGAAAGAATGAACAAAGGAAGGAGCCAGAATGGGAGGGAACCAGAAGGAATTTTTGTCCAGTGTCTGCATCTTTAGGCCCCATTTCAAACCTAGGGTTTGTTGGCATAGAAGTAGCATTGTTTGAGCAGGACACAAATCCTCCCCTTAGCAGCAGTCAGAGGTAGTCCTGTGAAAGTTTGGAATACTATAGCAGTCAGGGAATTGAGGTGGTCCTGAAGGATGCTATACTGAACCGAACTCATGAGCATAGACATTAACCGATGCAAAGTTTCAGTCCAACTGTTTTAGTTCTAAATCCCCAAACCAATATCTAGAGTGGCATGAAGAGGGATGAATTAGATGGCCCATGACCTGCCCACTAGTCCCCTTTCAGAGGTCACCTGAACTGCTTTTAAGGATTTGGGGCATCAATCTTTAGTGTAACTTCTTTATAGCTGACGAAAAGGCAATGAAGGCAGCAGTAGTTGGAGTGCCTCAGAAGAGGCTCGAGCCAAGGGGCCATGATAAAACTTAACGCTTGACAAAGATCCAGAACATAAGTCAGGAGGTAACTGAAATGTTTCTGCACCCCGATAAGCCTCTCCACTGACACAATAATCTGAATTAGACCAAATCAAACTGAAATAGAAAAAGACCAGGTTTAATGGATACCAATCCTCCCCGATGACTTTCCAGCCTCCCAGAGAGGAACCGGGGAAGGAAGGGAAAAGAACCATGTGTTTTTTTCTCTGAGGGACAGTTTAAATACCCTGTGGGAGTGGTTTTGGGTATCTCTGGGGAGGGATCACCATTTGGTGGGCTTTCGGGGTGGAGTCTGGACTGAGGCAACCCCCAGGGGAGGGGGCTTGGGGTGCAACTTCCACCCAAACATTTTAAACTCTTTGGGTATATGGATGCCAGGGGCTGGGGTGTGTCTTCTATCCAAACATTCCAGACTCTTTGGGTCTAGGGGCGCTGGTTCAAGTCTAGCTGGAATGAGGCGATGTGGGGGAGGGGAGAGTTGGGAGTTGGTGGGCTCATGCTCAGCGGGAGGTGTGGGTGGAGAGGCATCTGGTTAACTGCCTTCCTGGAGACCTCAGGCATCTGTTCCTTGAGGGAGATGAGAAGGCAGGTTGCTAGGAGAAAACAAAATAGATTGTCATTACCGGCCCTATGAATAAGGCTAGCCATGGGAAGGGTGATTAACTTCCAGAAAGAATGGGACCGAGAAGTGCCCTGGTTGTACAGAAGAGGCAAGGGTAAATGAGTGAGATGCAAGCAGATATGCCCCTTAAAACCAGATTTCAGTTGCTGGGTAGGTGCCCATTTGAGGTGGGAGAGGTGGTACCAATGGTGAAGTCCCAGGAGCTGGTGCAGGTGCTGGCGTTATCTGGAGGGCCCTCTGTAAGCTGGTCTTGACCCAGACAGGAGTGACCTGTAAAATATGCTTGAAAATGGATGGGGTCAAAATAGGCTCTGGAGACTGTTAGTTTTCACCAGACCAAACTTCTTGACACAGCACAGAACTGATCAAGATAACTTCCACAGGGTATTTAAATTGCCCCCCCTCCCCAGAGAACAAACATGTGGTTTTCTGGTCTTCCTTTCCTGTCTCCTCTCTGGGGGATTGGAAAGCCACCTGGGAGCATTTGTATGTATTAAACCCTGGACTTTGTCTAATTCAGTTTGATTTGGTCTGATTTGTATTATTGCGTCACTGGAGATGCTTATGGGGTGCAGAAACTTCTCAATATTTGATCAAAAGTGTTAGTCAAGGTTCTATAGAGGGAAAGAGCCTATGGAATGGATGTCTATATGTAAATAGAGATAAGGCTGTAAATAGAGACAAGGGAACTTATTACAATGACATACAGACTATGGCCCGGCTAATTCAAAACAGCAGCCTATAAGCAGAAGGTCCAAGAATCCAATAGTTGTTCAGTCTATGATGCAGATGTCATAGCAAAAGTCTATGACATTAGGTTAAAACATTTTAAAAGACAGTTAAAGGGAATTGGAAACTTTGAACCTCTGAAGATACATCTGAAATCTGTTAACTCTGGACTGTGAAGCCTGTGAAAGAGGCACACCTGTCTCCATTTTTATCAGGAAATTTAACAAATGAAGGATTGAGTTACCAGTACCTTTAAGTCATCAAATGCCACCAGACAGATCTGAGAGGGATAAATAAATGAGCAGAAGTGAGACAGCTTTTTCCAGCTATGCAGGCAATCCCAAGTGTCTCCTTAGTCTTTGGCAAATATCAGTCTTAGAAGCAGTACTAGCCTTTAAGGCCTGACAGATTTTCCTGTGGGGGTAGGGTTCTGTCTACCTGTCTTGGCAGGATGAGACGATCGATCTCCCAGTATACTGTCCAGGAAGCTGATGAGGTGGAAGGCAGCTTTTTGCTGTGTGGATGACTTTGCCATATCCAAAGGCAAGCCTCCAGGCAGAAGGTCTTCTGCAACATCCATCTTCTTGGAAGAGCTATAGGATGCTGGAGGAGCTGGCATGTCTCTTTATCATAAGAAGCTCTTTTGTAAATGCCATACTCTCAGATCTGTGAAGGCACTTGAGAATCAGGGTACCATTACCTGTCAGGTATTTCTAAATTAGACATAGAAGTTGAATTTAGACATATAGTTTACCCAATCAGTTTACCAATGTCAGTAGAGGCAAGAAGATTAGAAGGAATAGTTTAGTAAGCCAAAGTGTATTGGAGGCGGAATGTCTCCTTGGTAGATCCAGCATACATGGGCACTCTTACCAAAGATGGCCCTGGGGTTTCTATTTTGACCTCAGCCAAAAATGATGGGTATCCCTGTGTTTGTATTTTTCTCCAGAGCTGTTGTAATCTGGAGTTATAGTTTTACAGATTTTAAAACAAGCACACACACAAACATAAAACAAGCACACTGTGGTCACATTATTTACACATATATATTAACAGACACACAAACAAATTCTTCTTTCAGGAAACTGTCATCTGACCAACTTAAAAATCCTGGAGTAGTAGGCTGCAGAAGCCGGGCGAGCACACAGGTGTCCCACTGTGGCTCAGATCAGCAGATGCTATAAGGGAGATCAGAAACATAAGGATAGAACACTTATGCAGCTCAGAGTGGGAGGACAGGGAAAATGGATCTGTTGCAGGGAGAATCCCAGTGTGACCAGATGACATGCCAAGAATGCAGACAAATGGCAAACAGAGAGAGAATCAGGAAGGGGAGTGGGGAGGCGGGGAGGGTGCACAGTAGCCAGAAATCATGGACTATGGGGGTTTGTTTACTTGTTGCCACGCCAGCAAAAAAAATTTAGGCATCAAGGGATGTATCGGTGTCAGATATCCCCAATTTACAAAGATTTTGTAAAAAGGAGCCCAAGGGCATTTGCGAATCAGGCCTTGAATTGTTGGTATCCATTTTGCAAGTCTATGCCAGATGTAAGCCTAGTGCAATGTGCCCACTGTGGTAGACTTGGGTCATAAAAACAGAGGGGTGTGAGAAATTCCCTCAAACAGAAGTCTCCTGAAAAAGGGATCCCTCCTTGTCCCTGTAACAAGTCAGGAGCCTGGCTTGGTTGTGTATTTCGCAGGCCAGCCCAAAAATCACAGGAGGCCTTGGACCTCTAAAGGCAATAACTTGAAAATCGAAACTTACACAGATGAAGCCAATTTTAGCCTGGCGGAGAGCAGGTGTGAGGGAGGGGGTTTTCTCACCATTTCTGCCCTGGGCCAGTGGGAAAAAGAGCCCCTCGGTGGGACCTCCAGATGAAAAGTTTCTGCACCCTGATAAGTAGCTCTCCAGAGGCAATCTGAATCAGACCAAATCAAACCGAATTAGAAAAAAGCCCAGGTTTAATGGATCCCAATGCTCTTGGATGGCTTTCCAGCTCCAAAGAGAGGAGCTGGAGAAGGAAGACCTAAAAACCATGTGGTTTTTTTCTCTGCGGGTAGTTTAAATACCCTGTAGGAGTGGTCTTGAGCATCTCTGAGGAGGGATCATAATTTAGTGGGCTTTGGGGTGGAGTCTGGACTGAGGCAACTCCCAGGGGAGGGTGCTTAGGGTAGAATTTCCACCAAACATTCCAGACTCTTTGGATATATAGGTGCCAGGGGCTGGGGTATGGCTTCTATCCAAACAGTAATAACTACAACTTTGTGGGGAACATTAAGAGACAAAGTTATATGAGGAAAACTTTTGCATCAAGATTAACATCAGTCGCTATACTATATTGTTAAAAGCAATTGTGCAACTGGCTTGAGTACACACAAGTTCTATAGAAGGATAAGGTGACTTTAATTAGCTGTTTGTTTACATTAGACTCTTGCATAAGGGATAAGCAGCTAGAAGCTCTGTAAAGAAGTCAGACATCAAGTAATGAATCTGAACAGAAAGTGTGTGATATTCCTTGCTTCCACATATGATAACCTTTCCATATTTGTTTGAAATATTAACAATGCCAGCTATTATTTAATGAGCAAAAATAGAGTATCTCAAGTAAAATACAACTTTGGGTTAGAAACAATTTGATAAGGTAAAAATTTTAAAAATTGGCACCTTAAATAACCATTTCGAATCTTTGAAAACGTGACAGTGCATATTTTTCTTACTGTCAAGTTTTTACACCTGCATTCCAAGAGACAATTTAATTCTAAGTTGTATTTCTGAACAGTAAATAATTTTCAATTTCCAATTAAAAAGAAATATATTCCCAGAAATGCTGGCTGCTTCGTCAAGAGGAAATGATTCATTTTACAGAATTGGCACTGAACAACAAGAAGAACTTTTTTAAATTAACCCCTATTAAGGAATCTTTGAAAAATCGCCACATTTGCATTCTGTACACACAACTCACAGCTGAAGCATGAAAGTAGCCAGTCATGTCAAATCTGTAATAAAAAAAAAAAACCCTTACATCTAACATAGCCTGAATTGACAAAGAGATCTACAGCCAACTCTTTACTTTTCCTGCCAATGGACACATTTCTAGGCCACTATATAGTGACAGTAGTAAGCATATAACTTAAGAGCATTTCATTTTAATAAAAAATTGGTTATTTAGAGGCAAAAATTTTTAAAGTGAAATAACCACATTAAATAGGTTCTAACATCTAACAACTTTGGGAATTTCTTAGAAAACATTCACAAGCATCTCTGTCAAAACCTGTGTACTCCTTGTTGGCTTCAAGGTGAGAACACAGACATGACCACTATATCTGTGTAGAGACTAGGTTATATTCTTAAAGTACCACAGGCGAGCCTGGGCTGGAAAGAATCCCCTTCATTTAAGCCATCCCTTAATAAAGAATCTAGGTCTTGAGATACCACTTAATAGAATCATTTGTTGACTCTACAGACACAAAACTAAGGTCCAAGATACCAATTGGATATTCTGAAGAACTTTCCAAAGCTGTGAGTTTGATGACAGAGTATCTAGCATCCTCTTTTAATGGGGGAACGTGGCTAGTTGAGGTATAGACCCTGAAATTAACTTCTGCTAAGTGAAAGAACTGAATGTCAAGGCAAAGGGCATGGCCAATTGAACTAGCATGCAGGCCCCGTACCTGTTGGATAGTAAGCTTATATGCATGGTTCTTCTGTTCACAGCATTCTCATGAATCAGTTTAGAAAACATCGAGAAGCAGAGTAATAGCTCTTTGTCTATCTGTTGTTTGGGACATGTAGGATGTGGTTGTAGACTCTGAGATCCTTCACTGGGCAAGAGAATCCATCTCCCTGTTCTGTGAGACAAGAGGAGTGATTCATCTTTTCTGTAGGTAAGGAGGAAGTTTGTGTGGTTTGGCCTACATGGCTAGAGCTGGTCAGGCCCACACAATCAGAGGCAGTAGCAGCAGCCTTCTGCTGGGTCTTATTTCCCGTAAGTACTTATCCTGTAATGAAAATAACATGCTACTTACTCTGATGGGTTGGTACCCCACTCAGTGGTACTTGTACTGCAATTCAAGGGAACTATTTGAGCCTGAGGTTTCCTACAATGCATATGTATTGTAAATTTAACCTATTTACTCAAGCATTCAATATTTTATAACAAATCTTTATATACCTGATTTTGATTACTATTTTACATTAAACAAGCTTTAAGTTTACTTTAAATTTGGTTTGATTTACTTGTTTCAGGCTTAACTGTGGCAATATTTATAGAATATTATATGATGGGAATTAAGAGAAGACGCTATATTGGGGGATAAGAATTGGTCTCTCCCTCCAAGCTAGTTTTTCTCTAAATAAATAACGTTTGTATTCAGCATGACTGACCATTGATTTGTATATCTTAATTATCTCTAGTAGTTTATAATTAGCAAACTATTTTATGAGATTCGATTTTTTTAGTTTTATCCCTATTAAGTTTGAGCCTTAAAAATTATGATTCTTGAATTAAAGGCACTTTAGTACTAAAATAAACTTTAAACCATAAATATGGTCCACAGAGAGACTGACCTTTTTTAATGCACCTTTATGAAATGACACTTTTTATATGACTCAGTTTATCCAAATAGCTAAAGCTCAACAAATATAGCAAAAATATCATAGGTTTTTGTATGACCCACTTTTAAAACAAATCACCTTGGAAGCTTGGTCTTCCCCTTAGTCTCAAAAAGGGAATACAATGATAAAATAAAGGGATACCATGTAATCACCTTGACTAAGATCATAGTAAGGTCATGTGGCATACTTCCATCCTGATGATGTCACCAGTCAAGATGGTGGCAAGCCACAAAGTTGTTATTTACTTCAAGGTGTGCCTAGGTCATCAGCCAAGGCACAAGGTACTCCAAGATGAACCCATCAGGCACATACCCCCTTTGTATACAAGAACTGAATTCAAGTTACATACAAGCATGGTATAGCAAATTAAGATTACCTATGTATAGGTTATTTTTAACTATAAACCCTTCCTATTTGAAGTTTTAGGCTAACTTCTTGTTACAGATTTTACAATTCTCTTAAATCACAGTCAATGAACTTACAAATCCTAAAATACAAAATGCTATCTTGAACAAAAGATAGTAAGCTTTTAAAAGCTTTAAAGATAGTAAACAAAACCTAAAAAATGGGAAGGGAAATTTAGAGCATTACACACCATGCTATGTGTAACCTTTATAGGAAATTGTTTAATTTTTAGTTGTTTAGTTGTTCTCAAGCTCAAAGTATCTTTTCCTGTTTTGCTCCCATTCTCCCTGTCACAGAGTCAAGTGGCCAATCTGACAAGGGAAACTTTCAATCTGACTTTGGGGAAACTTTCAAACAAACATACTTGGGTCTGGAGCAGATGGGCCAAATTCTAACTCTAGAGCCAGTCTTCTCAGTAGAATAGAACAGCATGAAACAAGTTTTTCAGTATGTTCTGTACCCAAGAGACAACTGAATCTCTATAAGATCTATATATCCCGAACCAGTTTGTGTGTGTCTGCAGGTGGGAGCAGACAACCTGAAATGCTCTTATTTCTTAGCTATAAAAGACACAAGCAGGAATTTTCAGGCCCAGGAGA